GGACAGGGACGTGGACCACCAGTGGCTTAGTGTGCTCCACTCTTCTCCAGTAGCTTATCTTTCTGCTGGGAAGGGTCGATCTGGGTCGCGCTACAACGAACCCTCATTTCTTCCCTCTGCGCCCTTACACGGCCCCCACGATCCGTTCTAACCTCCTCGTTACGCGCATATAGCCCTGGACCTTTGCTTTCTAGTGCGCGTTTCATCAAGGTCCCGTCACAATTGCAAGGCGCACACGACATGCCTGCGATACCGTTGTTTTGAACAGCTCTCTGATGGCCTGCTCCTTTCCAGTCAACAGGTTATTGTCCGAGTGCTCCAAATCCTTCGCGGGCCATCTGCATGTTGAGTGGCCTGGCCAGTCAACCGACCGTGCATGAATATGGGGTTCCCAGCATCCTCTCGGACCCTGCCGATGATCAACGGCTTTGGGAAGGCATTGCGATGGTTGCACCGTGCGATCTTCCAGCACTTGACGAACCGCGTTAATCTCACTGCTTTCTAGTAAGACACCACCATGCTTCATGACGTATCCGTCCGCCTTTGTTTCTGTACTCCTCCTACATCGAACGTCGGAACTCAAGAAGAGAAATAGAGGGCCCCGTCGATACTGCTAATACCCACCAGAGTCCACATTTTACAGGCTGACAGATATCTTTCAAATCACAAAGCACCTATTACCATCGGATATAATGGAGACGAGTCAGGAGCCGACCCGAATTATCCAACGACCCGATTGACTCGTGCACCAGCCAGACGGCCCCAAGTATCGCAATTCCGCGCTCGCACGCTACCAGGCCGTAGTGAAGTTGTGGCGCTGGTCTGAAGCGGAAAGGGGCGGCATACGCAAGCAAAGCGCGGAATAGCCGCACTCGTTCCTGAATGCTAACCTCGAAAGTCTCCTGCGCCTGCAGACATGCGAGCTAACGCTTTGGTGATGCACAATGGCACGGACATCTGCATCTTGTCTACAAAGGAAGGTGCAAGGGGAGGGAGTCGTGATCTGGAACACCCAACTCCGCCCGGCAACGTATGTCTCAAATGGTGCATATCGCGCGATCATGACAACCCAACGTCGCCGACTTGAGGGCGCTATAGGCAGTGCTCTGAATGGTCCTCCGAAGGTGCATGCAGCCGCGTGCATCAGCCCTGTACATTGTTCGGACCGAAACGAGCCAGGACCTTGCAACATCGAACGGCAAAAATTCGCCGTGCGTTTTCCGATCGTCAACCTGACAAGTACGCCCTTTGGATGTGTCTTCACATGCTGTTGGAAAGAAAAAAGTAAAGACGATTCAACATGAAGATTTCATGCTCTGTCCAATCAACCAACGGCATTTTGAATAATGCCATCTTGCCGGAGTCAGCATGCTTCCCTAACACGACGGAGAAACGCAAAATTCGACAGCCCCCATTGTGATATTACGAACGCGTATACTATGGAGAACCATGTCTCGGCGCCTGAGCTGTACCTTCTGCTTCTGCGTGTGTCCCTTGACGGAAGCTACGAGGCAATTGAAGGTAAAACCTGAAAGCCTCTCTGCATGTACTTCAAGAGGTATAAGCATATTTTTGCAGTGCAATATACGATACGGCTTTATTATGGAGCTTTGAATCTAAAACTCATGAAAAGTTCAAATGGCTGATACATAGCAAATATGGCAATGACCTAAGATTCTATACCAAGTACAACAATCTTTTCTCTGACTGTCATTGAAAATGAGCCCTTCAAAACCATTCCGTGTTACATGACGAAGCACTTACAAGAGAGAAAGTTCTCGGGGCGTCTGCAAAGAAGCGACATTGGTCTTGGATAAGATCCAGATCTTTGACAGTATCTAGAAGTTGCGGTTTCCCACTGTCACCGTATTGATGAGATTAAAGTTGGATTAAAGCTCGACGACTTCGTTAGCGTCTTTGCATATTTCGACATCGAGGAATCACTCGACTGCAGCATGAGATCATATCATGCCATTTTATTAGCCGGGGAAGAGGACGACACGGTGTAAGATCGGGTATAATACCACTATCTAGAGTGGACGAATCTGTGTTTCAAGGACAAAACAAGGCCTTTGCGATAGTAGACCTACTACCTGTTCGTCACCCTCACGAACACCTGGTCTTGGAGCGAATGTGCCGCCAGGGGCAACGGCACTTACCACACGCGAGGTGTGCCATTCGGTGCTTTCCAAGCATGTCTAGACACAATCCAGTCTTCTCCGTTTGCACAAGATGGCTGAACCCCTCCACCTCCAGAATCATACACACGATACCCACAAGCAAAGTCACACTACGGTTAAACCCAACGGTCGGGATCCCGGATCACGCACCGAACTAGCGGTTAGTGTAGCGCGGCGTGGGGTCCAAAAGCTGCGCCAGCACGCGCCTCCGAAGCTTTCCTGCTTGGAAGAAAATCCAGCTGAGCCGTGCGGCGTGCTAACCCCTGCTGGCGTGCCCTGGCCGCGAAGAATGCCGCAACGGGTATGATGCTGCGAGCCAGGTGCACATGTGGGTTCTGACGAGCAGGCTAGACTCGAGTGGATAATGCCTGCGCACTCGATGGGGAACTGCACTGGGTACAGGGGCAAGCGGAGCCCGCGTGTCGTGAGTTCCGATCCTGAAGCGCATGCTTGTTGCCGCCTTGGATCGTCTTTTGTCGGGATGGACAGGACTGGGCTGGGACCGGAGTTAGGTTTGTGTGAGCGAGAGTGAAGTGGTCGGGATTTTTCTCGGGCACAGGCGGAGGGAGCGTTGTCGGGTCGCTTGTCGCGTATCGCTTGGACTTGCTTGCGCAGGAAGAATTAGCTTTGCTTTGTGCATGTGGGATACTTCTTACTGTGATTGCGTTGGTGCAGTGTGTGGATAGCAGAGACACACTTTGCTGTGTCCACTGTTCGGAGAACGGCGACTTGAGATACGGCGTAGTCAGGTAGTGGCTCTCGCATATTCGCATAACGCATATCTTCAACAACAGACGTACCTAGGTACCTCGCCGATACTCAGAGTTCGTCCAACATGACCATCTCCGACAACGAGTAGCCTTTTCGACGGCGGATCGGTCCCAAAATGGGAATCCGTCATCCAAGATCTACCACATCGACTCGAAAACACACTAGAACATCATGCACCTTCTTCGCTACACATGTTATCAAACAAGAACCATAACTCTGTCGGACAGACAGCACCACTTGGGCAGTCCCAACTGCGACATCAACGCCAACACTATTCCCGGCGCCACACTATCAGGAACCACCTACCAGGCGGGCGTGCGATGAGCGCCGCTATCCTCGGCCACGCTCCGCTATGGTGTAGAGCTAATATACGACTGAGCCACTGGCATTCGCTTCTTCGGATCACGACCGTGTGGCTCAAACTCGCCCGCACTCGCCCGCTAGACGCGTAGCTTGAACTACGACGCCAGATTTAAGTTTCACTTCGATATACTATATCTTCTAGCGAGCGTCGCAGGGATTGGTACACTGGTTCTGTAGGACAGCATTTAGGAAGCATATAGGCCCGATGCAGAAAGCCATGCGTGATGAATCGCGAAATCGACATTGCAGTAGTGTGAACAGACGCGAACGATGGCCTTTAGGTTGTATGCTTGATCTGTGCTAACATGACGAGCGCAGTATTGAAAGGAGGGGTTGGAACGCAGGTCTGTGATAAGGTTCAAGGGAGTAGTTGGCGAGTTTGCAAAAGATTGACGATCGGGTTCGCAATCGCTATATTCGTGCCCTCATGATAGTAGATTCCACTTCACATGCATCCTCGCATGTCTAGTTCAGCTCGTTAAACTCCCTATCTTCAGTCCGTGGTGAGCCAGACGAAGCAGGCCAACGGAATGCAACTGCGGGGTGTGCAGTTACAATTGCATATGGACAGAGCTAACAATTTCCTGCATGCAATGGTATGTCTGTCGCATGGAGTCTCCCAGGACCATCAGACAGAACCTACTTCAAGGAACTGCGCCTCGAACTGGCACCCTTCTCCCACATATACCATATATGAGTACTGGTCCTGATACGCGACGACAGCATCCGCCCGATCAACAGCTGCTTCGCCCGAGTAATTGCTACCTCGCTGGCTCCTTGTATCTTTAGATATGCTCTGACGACATGTTCGCTCCTTCCTTGGATGGCTGTGCCGGGGCGTGATAGCTCTTGCGCATGATAGGTATATGTATCTTCGAACAACCGACGCCTACAAAGCGGCAGTCTTTTCTCGTCGTGGAGAACGAGGTTGTAGGTTTGTTATTCATCTGCATGACTTCAGGTCAAGTGCCTGACGGTCTGAACCGCCCATGACCTGGCCACGGCTCAGAAGGTACATCAGGCGCGTTGATGAATTCCCAAAATCCGTATATGAGGCATAGGAAGACAAACACGACCAACGCTTGTCCGAACCATTCTGGTAGTGCGCGATGTGTGGATTCGACTTCGCTGCTCGCTATCGAGGAATCATCGGTATACGGTCGGAAAGTGCCATAACCCGGGGGTGCACCCGTTAAGCCAACGGCATCGTCGTAGGAAGGCGGAGGCTCATCGTATGGGGAATCTTGGTGAGGCGGGAGATGGATGGGTGGATCGTTGTGAGGGTGGTGGTGGTGATGGAGATCAGATGCGAACGTGTCGGCTGGTGGGGCAGATGGCGCATCATGTGAGGCCTGCCACAGTCAGTTATGGTAGCCAGAACATGACAATCACGCATGGCTTACCGATCCTGCGTCGTGCATATTGCGCTGGCCCCGGCGGTATATAGGGCAACTGTAGAGGCTTCATGGTGTTGCAGTCGGGCACTTGGGGTCGCGTGCGGCGCGCGTCATCACGCCGGAGCGAGCATGTGAAACGGGCCGTCAGTGCTCCGTGTCGGAATGCCATGTCTCGTAAACGTAGGCAACAAATGAAGCGCCCAACACCACCACCTGGGCACCACCAACCGCAGCATGTCCAGCGCGCTGTCATTGATACACGGACACATTATTCTCTGCCAGCCACAGCATGTCCGCTGATCCCACTGCTAACCCGCAGGTCTTCTCCCCCACGGCTTCTGGCCGCTCCAGTCCCGTACCACGGTCCGCGCGCACTGCTGTACAAGAGCGTATGTTGTCGCATTGTGCATGCAATCCCAGGTTACTGACTCGGAGAACAGCACTGTATAAAAAAGATAAAAACTTCCGTCGCTATGCCGCCGGTGTCGAACGCGCCCTCGCCCTCTGGGACACTGCACAGCAGGAATGGGCCGACTACATATCTTTCCTGGGCCGGCTGCTGAAGGTCAATCCCGCCATGCTACTGCGACTATGAGACAATGCGCTTATACAAGTTACCCTCCAGGCCCTGCAAGCGCACCCTCCAGAGATACCCATCATACCACATAGCGATACTGTCGCACTGCGATTAGCGCAGTGCTTGAATCCAACATTGCCCTCGGGCGTTCACCAGAAAGCCCTCGACGTCTATGACTACATCTTCTCCACCATCGGTGTATGCCCGTCTCCCCCAAGTCAGCCTATGCCAAGCTGATCCATGTCCAGAAAAATGCCCTCGCTCGTGACCTCAACCTCTACTTCCCCGGCCTTGCCTCTGTGCTTTCCTTCGCCTCGCTCTCGGTCCGCCCACTCTACCTCTCCGTCTTCGAGAAGCATATACTAAAGCTCGACGGAGCCGCACTTCGCCCGGCCTTGAAGGCCATCATACTGTCAATCCTGCCTGGTCTGGAAGATGAGACAAGCGAGGATTTTGAGCGCATGGTCTCGGCAACGGAGAAGTTGCGGAGCGCAGTGCAGGACAACTCGGACGACATAGTCGAGGCTAAGACTGCGGGTGCTTCATCTCACTTTTGGCAGTGCTTCTTCCTAGCGACCATCACCAACCCATCCAGGAGGCAAGGTGCACTTGCTTTCCTCGTACGACGATTGCCTAAATTCGGACGGCCAGAGAGGCGCAGCTCTCCTCCAGATGTCTCCAGACCTTCTGACGCGCTATCGGGCGAGGCCGAGGCAGCCACATCCCCCGAGCCAGGTCTCCTCATTCGCTGCTTTGGATCAGGCCTGTCGGACCCTCAGATACTCATCCAGCGAGGATTTCTCGATCTTTTGGTCAGTCATCTGCCTCTCGACTCACCCGTCTTGCAGGAGCGCGTTGGAAAGGGGGATTTAGAGCGACTAGTAGCTGCAGCCGCAGGCGTTGTGTCGCGAAGAGACATGAGCTTGAATCGCCGGCTCTGGGCATGGTTCCTAGGTCCAGAGCCCACTGCGTCTGAAGTAAACGACAGCACCACATCCCCAACAGCAGACAGACACAACGTGTCTGCAGATCCGTCGGCACATCAAGCTGCTTTCTTTTCGCGGTACGGTCTTGAAGCGCTTACCAACAGCGTCCTCAAGATGATCAACCGTCGTAGCACATTACCTTCCGAGCGAGCACGTCCTTTCAGAGTCTGTCTATCTCTCATGGACCGTTGGGAAGTAGGTGGTTTGATTGTACCCGAGATCTTCCTGTCAGCGTTACAGAGCGTATATGCGTACAGCGAAACTGCATCCAAGGAACAAGTCGACGAAGTCATGAGAAGTGCCAGTGCATTCTTCGATGGCGTCGATAGCGGCCTCATCTGGGGCAAGCTCATTCATCTCATAACGTCATCCCTGCAGACGGATGATGACGAAGCATTACAAAAGATGAAGCTGGCCAAGTTTGTTCTGGCCCGATTCAATCTCAAAGAGGAAGACATGCTATTGCATCACATGCCTCTAATGGTACTATCGACACTTGTTGCTTTGAATGAGACCTCTGGCAAGACCGACAGCTCATCAAAAGACGCACAAGTTGTGAGCCTTGCCCTCGAGATCACAGACTCGCTTATTCAGATTGTCCCAGATCGGTCATTTCAAGGTGATCAAGCAACGGAGCAGCAGCTATTGGCAACTCTCAAAACACCGCGAGCCACAGTGTCCAAGAAGATACGTGCATTCTATGAAGAATCTCAAAGAAGCTTGGATGCAGCTGACCCGCCTTTCGATCCGCCACTGCTTGGTCAGATTGCGCTTCGTGAGGCCTCTTGCATGTTCACCGCATCTATGCAGTCAAATGGTTCCGGTATCACTGCCGAGATGCCTTCCAAAATATTATCCAATCTGGTCTTCAAAACACAGTGTCTTAAGGCCGTTGAAGATATTGACCTAGTCACTATGCTTGCAAATGTCCTTCAGACATCGGACAAGACCGACACAGATCCTTCATTCCCGCACCTAGGCGCTATAACAGCCGTCTTACTCGCACTCCAGACCGCACTCCCATCAAGACCTCACATCGCCTCAAGCCAATTACCTGAGATCATCCATCCCTTGGTTCGATACTTCTGGCGGTACCTTTCGCCGACATCACCCAAATACCATGTCGAAACAGCGCGTTCCTTGTTACAATTACATGCCATTACACCTGCCAGTCGGATGGTCGAAAGTGCCATCGCTTCGATCATCGTAGAGGAGACCGGCCAAGATTCCGTTTCTAAGAGCTCATCAGATTGTGCCCGACGTTTTGCGACACTATGGACGCATGTCATGCACGAACTGAACCTGCAGTCAGAAAAGCGTGTCAATATTACTCGCCGACCAAGTGGTAACATTCTACAAGCCTCGTCAACAGCAAGCGACTTCCACTCTGTCTTGACAAGGCCGCTGCTCTTGCTTCTTGACACTCTCGCAGAAGAAGGGTCGGAAACCTCTACGTTTTTGCAAAATTGGCTACCAGATACGCCAAGCTTGAACAGAGTCTTTGAGATCCTTGCAGTTCATATCCAATCACTCAACTGTCTGGCAGCTTTAAGCAATTTGGCACCTAATACGACAACCCAGGGACCAGCAGCACGTTCCAGAAGAGACGACACAAAGGAATGCCTATACTACCTGAGGCATGTCTTTAATGTCATCAAGCGGCCATCACATTTCACGTGGGTAACTCTTGCTGAGGTCACACTGTCCTGGCCAGAACCCTCCTCACCGCGTATCTCCATCCAGGAGTGGCTCACACGTACATGTTTGACGACACTGTCGCTTCAAATTGGCTCATCAGATACAGTTATAGGGCCTCACATACATGAGCTACACCGGTTGTCGGTCTCTATGATATCGCAAATCTATCGAAGTCCATTTGCTGCACCACTTCGAGAGTTGGAGCTTGAAGTACCTCTAATGGCAAGGTTAAGATCAGCGAGTCCGCCTTTGCAGAGTCTCTTATTAAGTGCAGAGTTGGCGGCACTGAAACTCCGCCTTACTCGTCCACCAGAACCAACAGCAGAGCCAAAATCTTCGAATCATCCTGCCAATCGGTCGCGCCTTTCACTAGCGATCAACAGAGACTCGGAAGATCAGACGCCTGCGCCGATTCCTCCACCTCCACAATTTGTTGAGTGCTTGAAGTTCGGATTCTCCTCCTCTGCCAGTCGCCTAGTCCTTGACGACTGGATTCAGTTCCTTGTTGAAGTCCTACCAATGTTTCCTGATACGATATTCCAAAACCTCCTACCACTTGTAGAGTGTCTTTGCAAGCAGATCAATCTTACGTTCGAGCAGCTCAAGGTTACGTTCGCAAAGACACACCCCGCACCTACTGTCTCTCCCGAGTCGACTCTGATCTCGCTCATGAACGGATTAGAGCAGATATTGGCCAAGGCGCACGAGCGTTTGACTACGCAGGAGACGAAAGTGTCTGCCAACAAGTCTCCAGAACAACCCCAGGGTTTCTTCAGCAATGTCGTATCTGGGCTGATTTCCTCTGATGCGAACCAGGCTCGCACTCCGACCGCAAATAGTAGACTCACAGTTTTGCTTTGCTTCCAAGACACTGTTCGCATATGCTTCGCGATATGGTCTTGGGGTGGCTATGGGAATATGCTCGAACTACAGGATCACACGTCAGCGTCATCATTCGCTTACACCTCTTTACGCATGCGCAATCGGGCTCGCCGCACATTGGAGCATCTCTTCGCTGCGGAAGCTTTGGAGTGCTTGGAGACGTTAGTAGTTCTATGGGCGCATGCGGAAGTTGACGATGTGCGAGGAGCAGCTATTACAGGGCTTCTAAACGTCCTCAATGGCTCAAAGCCAAAGCATACCATCCCAGCAATATTCAACGCTGTATACAGCCGGACGGATCCTGGGGCGTTGGACACCAATCGACTATCAACATTGACCTCTGATCTTACTGATGCTGAACTAGTCGCCTTCCTCGTCGAGTATACGAACTCTCTGGAAGATGACGCCATGGACGAGATCTGGCAGGACTGTACTTTGTTCCTGCGAGATGTGCTCGCAAATCCCCTTCCTCATCGACAGATATTACCTACATTGCTGGAGTTTACCGCCGTCATAGGGCAGAAGGTTGATAATACCAACTTTGGAGAGCAACGGAAGATGAGAAGGGAGCTTGCTGTGAGTGGCAATGCTTGTTCAACTGAATTATACTAACTATATGAACAGGATATCTTTACCAGAATCTTGACTGCCATTTTCACAACACGTTCGATGGGCTATCTGCAAGACACGAACCAAGCGGTAAACGAAAAGCCGGCTGCTGTGACAAATGGCAATCGCGCACAGAAGCGGGCAACCGATGTCGTTCCCATTCTGACTACCATCGTACCGAAACTATCGATCATCCTCGTCGAGAATGACCGTGTTGCGAAGGTCGTCTCAGACGTATCAGCATCCGTCATCGGACCAACCTTCCGCGCCAAAGCATTCCCTGAAAACGTATCGAGAAACACGTTGGATCTACTCCAAGGCCTGACCAAGATCTCGCCAGGTAACAAACTTCTCAAGAAAGACATTTTCGATGCTTTCAATGACCCCAAGTTCTTTAACACACCGCTTTATCTACTAAGAGAAGCTTGGCTGCCTATACTTGCGCAATGGACGCAATCGGACAAGGAGCGACTGCCCGAGCTACTTGCACGACTGTCTGCGCCAACAACGGCTGGCATCATGTTCGGAGTTGGTGCAACATCTGCGCGGCAGGAAGCCGACCGTAAAACCCAGCTTACTTTACGTCGCATTGCCCTTCTCATCCTTGCGAGTCCCGAAGATGCTTTCACACCAAACATACCACAAGTTCTGGAGAAGGTTGTCGAACTGCTTACCGCCACGCCAGCGTCGTCGCCATCTTCAGTCACTCGTACCGACGTCATCGTACTACTGCGTGCCATCATCTTGAAGACGTCGCCAGTCCACCTGGCGTCGCTTTGGCCAGTTGTGAACGGCGAGCTGACATCCGGACTATCCGCACTCCTACCAGACGCTCCAAACAAGGAGCACTACAACAACGCCGGCATCATTCAGACGTGCAAGCTGTTAGACGAACTCGTCGTACTAGACCCGGACGACTTCCAGCTCATGGAGTGGCTCTTCATCTCCGACACCATCGACGCAGTATACAAGCCCGATACCCCGCCAACACTCATGTCTCTTACCGATGAGATCAACGAGGTTCTCACAAGATCATCGACAGCACCTCCGGCTCCTGTAACTGCACTGAACGGGTCAGACACGGATGAGCCCAAGAGGACGTTATTCTTAGACCCGCTTATCGAGGCTCTTGAGAAGGAAGAAGGTGCTGCAGTGTTGGAGATGACCAGGGGAGAGTTGGTGAATCGGTTGGTGAGGCCGTTCTTGGGCAATCTGGCAATGAACGCATTTGAGGCTAGGTATGGGGGTGGAGAAGCGGACTGGCAGGGTATTTGGGAGAGTGTGGTCAGAGACGCGGGGGCTTGAGCTCGATCAAGCTTGCTTTGCTTTCATGGCATGTAGTAGTGTCGTATATTATACAGCTGAAACCATCATGCATTTCATGACCCAAGATGCTCGAACGGTTACACTTCAATTTCCTCGGTCTACCCAAGTGTCCTGATATCCTTTTTGTAAGAGTGGGACAGATATTACGTATATCTGTGTTGTGAGGCTTTGAGAGCTGCTGTAACGTCGACGGGCTGTTGGCGCAACGCTGTCGTAAGAAGTATGCGCCTCTTGGTATGCGGGTCGTGGTCTTATTATCCTACTCTCGGGCTCGACTTCAGCTCTTTGGCTACTTCGCCCAGTGTAGCTGAGTACAAGATAGCCAGATGATTGCTGGCATCAAGCTCGCCATGGAACCAAGAAGATGCCAGATGACTCCAGCTTGTTATCCCTCCCGCAACCCCATTATCCGGCATGGTACCAGCCAGCCTATAGACACGGTACGCGGCGCAGTTAGGGTGAGATCCAATCGTCCATGAGTCCCATTCAGTTTCACTCCGACTCTTCCGAATCTTCCTCGCGCATGATAGCTTCGCACTGCTCTCTAAGCTCCTGCACGCCAGCAACGCCCTTCCATTTATCCAATATCCTACTAACCTCTTCCCACTCCTTCTCCGCCTTCTCGTCTTGATCCTGGTCTACCATATCCTGCAGCCGCCGTGGTGTATCCAGAACCCATCTCACAGTATCCTGCTGTCTCCGCTGCTTGTCTACGTCTGATTTATCTTTGTCGTCCTGCTCGACCCGTATGCTTATACCCAGTCCCTGTTCTTTGGACTGGTGACTGCCCTGTAATGAGGATGACAAGGACGCAGCTGTCTCGGCGATGTGGGAGATGGCAGGACCGAGGGTGTGGGTTGTGGGGGCGAGGGGGTCCATGTTTCCGCGCATGCGTCGGATGGTGCTTGTTGCGGAGAGGAGTTTGGAGTAGTTGTCGTAGACGAGAGACTTGCGGTCGCTGTCTAGATTTCTGATCTCTGTTTCAATGTTAGCACTCCAGATGTCCGCTTATATGCGTCGAGTGACTGCTTACGAGACACCAAATCTGCTTCGACCTTCAACACGCCTTTCAGTCCCTCTTTGGCAAGCAATGCCTCTACAAAGGCTTCTGCATTGAAGTCGGCAGCATCGAGTTCTGTGAGCGTCTCGTCTTCTTCTGGCCCTAACTGTGTTCTCGAAGATTCTTCAGATATTCTGGCGTCTGGCGTTGCATCGCGGGGCGCGTTCTTGAGGCCGTAGAATTCACGAAGGGCGGCTCGGTTTCGGCGTGCGGCTGGAGGTGGGCGATGCGACGAGCTGCTGTCGATTGAGGTGCGGGTCAAGGAGGGGCTGCGGACCGAGGAACTGGCGCGAGGTGAGGCTATCGTCGACATGCCGTAGTATTATTCGTAGGTTGTTGTTCGCTATGTTGTGAGGTCTGGTGGTTGGAGTGTTGGAGCTTGAGCTTCATGTGAAGGGCCGAGGCCACCGTTGGGGAAAGAGCGCCCCACGTCATTCTACGCGTCGCGTCTCCCACATCGCGCCGTCTTATTCGCGAACAAGCAAAACCGCGCATCCTCAAGAAGGGTGCAAGTGATCACCGACATGGCAGCTAATTTCGCAGCCGAGCTAACACAGCACCTACATGCCCGCCATCTCTACCCTACCGCCGCCTGGCTGCAGGGCTTCCTCTCCACAACCCGGCCCAACACGCCGTTGCCCGCCGTCAAGCAGACAGCCCACTTCCGCCTACTAGCTACCGACATAACCACGTCGCTCAGCCAGCCTGCAGGATCCGTATTTCCCGACGATGTGCTAAAGGGTACCACAAAATCTCGCATCGTCCCTGGTCCAGTCGTCTGCCAGGTGCTCGACGTCGAAGATATAGGCCACTCGCGCTGGTCGCAGGTCGAATCTATCGAAGCGCAGGAGCGTGGCGAAATGACAAAAGGAAGGGAGATTGTGCGCGTTGTGGAGCAGGAGAATGAGGGCACTGCTGAAGCTGCGGCTCCTGTGCTGAGCAAAGGGCCATTCAAGCTGCTATTGCAAGATGCCAAAGGCCTCAAGATCTACGCCATGGAGCTAAGAGGCATAGACGGGCTCAATACCAACATGGCCATGGGCGTCAAACTCCTCCTGAAGAACTTTGACGTGAGGAGAGGCGTCATCATGCTTGAGCCCGGCAATGTGCAAGTGCTAGGCGGGAAACTGGAGGCACTCGATAAGGCTTGGAAAGAGGGAAGAAAGGAAAGGCTCATGGCAGCTGCCAGGGTGACGGGATAGGCGGAGGGTGCTGGTGTTGTATGTGTTGAACCACTCCATAATTTTAACAAAGTATCTATTGGTTGTCGTTTTCCATCTCTTCTTACATAGAGGCCTGCCGTATGGCAGCGAACGATCAAAACCGAGGCACTTTGTTATGTATCCTTCATGCTCTAATGAAAGTAACACCAATTGCTACGTATCTGTTTAGAAGTAGTCTTGTTGATATCAAAGCGTTGGTCTCGATCTTACTAAGCGCTGTCATGCACTCCTCATGCGAATGTCGCGTCATAGAGAGATGTTGAGAAAGACGCGAACATCGGTCATCAGCAGTAGCGGCATCGCTGCTTACTGATGCATGAAGCTACTCGGCTATTTGCTTAAAATCATGACGGGAATATGAAAAGATATCGTGCAAAGCTAGACATGATGTTCCCGGAATTGGCTCGGGCTTGGGAGGCAGGCGCTGATACATGCGAGCCAGCGCGGTCGTCGTTTAGTGAGTGCTTTTCCGAAGTCTTGCGGACCGGAATTCTGCTAGGGGAGAGGATGGTGAAGTCGATATTCCCGCAAGTGTAATGGTATATGCCGCAATTGAGTCTAAATGAATATGCCTCATTCGAAGGTATACCCAAAGCGGTAACGTTGTAGCGAAGACCCGCGTCGACGTTAAGCTAAACATTATGGAGGACAAAGCGTGGCTGAGCAAGCTTTGGTCTGCGTGAGGCGTACACGTTTGCAACGCGTCGCGAAGTGAGCTACTTACGCGGGGTTATAGTGATCGTAGACGTGTGGTGGCTGAGGCTGTTGGAAGCGCACGCTGGGGTTAGTACGTAGTCGACTCATACTCTCTCAGTCGACGCGGAGTCGCATTGCAGCATTGCGTTGCTATGGCACCGCAGCATGCATATATGCCACCGCCAGATTCGCGGCGTTGGCGGTCTCCTGATCAGCCTCGTACAGCTTCAGCGGTGAAGTCGACCTGACGGAAACGTGTCGAACCGAGTCGTACCTTGATTGGGCCCATGTAAATCGGACGACTCAAGGGCAGCAAAGGGCTGTGCGTATGTAGATGAAGGTAGACGGTAAACGCAATTCGGTATGCGTAGCGACGGCTGAAAGCGCCACGAGATGCACTTTCCTCTTTCGGGATCGTTCGTCCTAGAAGCACGCCCTCACCGGAGCCGGAGTAGTGGAAAAGGGCGGAGCGGAGACGGATGCTATGAACGCACTGTTCACCGTTTTTTGTTTGTGCCTGACAATAAACGCACAGATGCCATAAACTCAATACCTTGGACAGTCGGGCTGTAGGAGCGCAAAAGTAATCAAACTGTTCAGCCATCAGGCATGACGACGGTGCAAAGTTGCTGGTCGCAGATTGACTGCCTCGGAGCACGCAATAGCGACGCTCCAGAGAAGCGCATGATCGTGTCATCAAATTATACTGGTTCATGCAGGGTCGTTAGCGGGTTTGTCAGAGAGTATTTTTCAGCATCTCTGACAAAGCCAGCTTGATCTACCAATGGCGGCACGATGCAGCAAGCTGCAGGCGGGAGTTAGTAATAGGGAGTCGGAGACAAGCAGCATGCTCCTGGGCCTTGCTCGCAATTGATGCCCAGATGTGATTGGTACCCTGGGTCATTTCACGATGGTTTGCTTGGGCGCGGGGGTCAGACTGAGCGACAGGTCCGCGTGGCCCGCCCAGCTAGACATCCACGGGTCGCTTGTGACGACGCGGACGAAAGCTGCGAGGAAGCGAAAAGCCGATGTGCTAGGCAGCCGGAAAACCAAGGTCCCAAGGCGTCGGCCGAAGTGACGACTCTATACGACGGTACGAAGGGTGCCGGACGTCAGCCTGTGGCTGAACTGCTGTCGTGAGCCAAACCAACCTCGCGCAATGGAGGGATTGGTGACCCCTTAGGCGAGACGGTGGACACGTTTGACAGGCACAGATTCAGGGCTGACCGCTCTGCCTGTACAGAGGTCCGTGGCTTAGCCCTGACGACAGCGCATCCTGGAACCGCAGGCAGCCAGGCAGCGCAGGTTCGCCCAAGCACCCTCTAGCTCGAACAACGCACCGCGAGGATATTAGCAGGGGAAACGCGAAAAGCGAAGAGCCCAAAAAGAAAAAACCCTGACGGCGCGATGTGGGCGGACGATGAGTGATGCAATGCATCGTGGGTTAGTAAACGCCGACAAGAGCGAGACCCCGATTACCCAGCGCCGTGGCATGTGAGCATGGGCAGACTGTATATCCGCGCAACGTCCGGCGTCCGCTTCGTAACGCCCGTATGTGCATGCGGGCGAAAGTCTCTACGACCGACCGGGCTGTATCGTAAGCCGCGCTAGCACCCCTGCAGTCGTGCCCAGGTGTGAATCATAGTGTGTTAGCTCACCGCATCCGTCCTTGCTCGGCCAAGAGCGGTGGAAACATGCCAATAATTCCGAGCACCCGTTATCCATCCTCCATGCGCCAGCGAAACATAAGAAACACGCCTGTCCTCGCTTCAGATTCCATCATCATCAGCTCACACACCAGTCCACCACTCCTCGGCGAATTACAACATCACTCGACAATCAAAGTCGATCAACATTACATCACACATCTCGGAATCTAACTACGCTCGGATCACCTTCCCTCCATTGGCTGCTGCTTTAAGGTTTGTACCCTCGTTCTCGACAGTCATAAAACCAACCTGACTCACAATTTTTAGGCTCTCATATACTACTGCCTTATACACACCAAACATGCCTTCTTCATCACACCTCCGCATTCAAACTTCCTTCGAGCCCTTTACGGCTGAGACTACCCGCTCCCACTTCATTTCATCACCACCGCAAAAGAAGCAGAAGATGTCTCTCACCCAAACCTACTACATTGCTGCCTCTGCCCGCTCCAAGCTCGGCAAGGAGGCATGCAGGGCCGACCACAACCTCCGCCTTCTCGTTGGACACGCAAACCTCCTCGACAGCCTCATGGTCGAACTCCAAGATGCCGAACGCCAGCAAGAGCAATGGTTCAACCAGACCATGGCCAAGGCCTCCAAGACTGAAGAGTCCCGACACATCCAATGGGCCGACAGCATCGCTGAGGAGGAAGAGGACGACGACTCCGAATCAGACTCCGAGTCCGAGAACGAGGACGACTTCGACATGATCGCACTCCCTCGCCGCATCGCTCAATCACCGGTTCAGATCAGCACAATGGAGGTGGACGAGGATGAGGACGACGAGGAGGAGTTCTACGACGACATGGAGGACGACTCAGAACTGGCTCTTACCCGGGTACCATCGCAATTACAATCACCACCCGAGCTCACCTACGAGGAAGAGTCCGACGACGAGTCTCCACCCACATCGCCCCCGCAAGCGTCCTTCAACTTCACCGAGAAAGAAGCCATGCTCACAACAACCTTCTACGACGCCAAACTACAATCACAAAACATCGAAGACCATCCGCTATTCATGGATACCACCGCTCCGCTCATCTCAAGTTATTAGGCCAGCACACCACCATGTTCCGACCTTTTGATTTTTGATCCAGCGTTTCCAGCGAGCGAGTCCTTTACAGCATAGCGTAGCATTTTCGAGCATTATATCCTCTGTTTTCATTTATTGGCATATACCGCAGGGCGGTCGGGATCTTCACGCAGGATCTCACGAACAACTCTACTCAGAAATTATTGGATGGATACGGGATAGGAGGATTTGGGATATTGGTCTCGAGCGGTTCGACGTCTCCCGAAGGTAGTGGTCGAGACTCCCGCCATAGCTAGAAATTTCAATGATGATCATTACACCCACAAAAACAATCTCCACGCTTTTCTCAGGTGATGTGCTGCTATCGCTGCAGGCTGCAGGCTAATCGACCCTTAGCAGGTCACAGGCACAGTCCCGATGTATGACTGATGAACTGTCAACAGCACACGATACAGTAACAAACCCCACGCATTACAGTTTCCTGTCAACATGCCCAGTCACACATTTGGTGCTGGGAAATTCCTAGGGTTGACCGACTTTTGGCCAGTGCGTCAGACCCTGGCCCCTCGCATGCATCCCGCATAGGGCGGGCACTTCGCATCGCGGACGCGGCTGCTTTTCGCCGAGCGCGCCTTGCATGGCTGAGCGATCT